CAGATGAATGGATAAAGAAGATGTGGCACATACATACAATGGAATATTACTCAGCCACAAAAACAAACGAAATTGAGCTATTTGTAATGAGGTGGATAGACCTAGAGTCTGTCATACAGAGTGAAGTAAGTCAGAAAGAAAAAGACAAATACTGTATGCTAACACATATATATGAAATTTAAGAAAAAATGTAATGAAGAACCTAGGGGTAAGACAGGAATAAAGACACAGACCTACTGGAGAACGGACTTGAGGTTATGGGGAGGGGGAAGGGTGAGCTGTGACAGGGCGCGAGAGAGTCATGGACATATACACACTAACAAACGTAGTAAGGTAGATAGCTAGTGGGAAGCAGCCGCATGGCACAGGGATATTGTCTCGGTGCTTTGTGACAGCCTGGAGGGGTGGGATAGGGAGGGTGGGAGGGAGGGAGACGCAAGAGGGAAGACATATGGGAACATATGTATATGTATAACTGATTCACTTTGTTATAAAGCAGAAACTAACACACCATTGTAAAGCAATTATACCCCAATAAAGATGTTAAAAAAAAAAAAAAGGCCCTCTTTGCAGAAATAGAAAAGATGATCTTCAAATTCATGTGGAATTGCAAAGGGCTCTGAATAGCCAGAAAAGTACTGAAAAAGAACAAAGTTGGAGCATTCACAATTTCAGAGTTTATTGTGGAATTGATATATAACAATAGACATATGAACCTGTGGACTAGAACTGAGAGTTCAGAAATACTCTACGGCTAATTAATTTTCAACAAGTGTGCCAAAGCCATTCAATGAGGAAAGAATAGTCTCTTTAACAAATGATGCAGATACAGCTGGATATCCTAATGTAAAAGAATGGAGTTGGACCCCTAAGCCATAACATATACAAAAATTAACCCAAAGTGGGTCAAAGACCTACATGAGAGAGATAAAATGCTATGACTATTTCAAGAAAACAAAGGGGTAAATCTTCATGAGCTCGGATTTAGCAATGGATTTTAGATATGAAACCAAAAGCTCTAGAAACAAACACACACAAAAAAGATAGATAAATTAGACCTGATCAAAATCCGAAACTTTTATGCATCAAAGTACACTATAAAGAAAGTAAAACAACTATTTTAATCTCCTCTTATTCACCCCATTGATAAGAGACCCCTAGGGTCGTGGGGATGGTTGAACACTCAACATCTGACACTGGACATATGAGATTAAAAGCATATTACTGGTCACACATACTCAAATCCCAGGGGAGGAGGACACTGCATGCCACACAGACTCACATGGGGTTACACTTGAGAAGAGAGCGAACAACCAGGAGCTATGGGTGGCAGGCTCTGTAGTATGAAAAGGACAGAGTGGTGATGATTGGTTCCCAGGGGAGGATGTGATTGGTTTGTTTCCATAATTACCCATCTGGCAAGGAACTGAAATTTACTACTCAGGAATAAGCAGAGACTACCTAGACCCCTGAATAAAGAGGGTTGTTTGGATAGGGGGCCTGATCCATGGGAGCAGAGTTGGGAGGGACTATTCAAGGCCCTCCTGGTTTCACCAGATATCCAGGCAGCACATAATACTGACCTTAATTTTAGGCCTTAAACTGTAACAACCTAGAGAATGGGAGAAAATACTTGCAAATGATTTACCTGATAAGAGTCTAGTATGCAGAATATACCAAGAAGTCTTACAACTCAACGAAAACAGGAACAACCCAATTAAAAATATGGGCAAGAGGTGAGGAAGATTAAGAGGTACAGACTTCCAGTTATAAATTACATGAGTCACGGGTTTGAACTGTACAGTGTGGGGAGTATAGTCTTAATTATGTAATATCTTCATATGGTGACAATAATGAGACTTATTGTAGTGATCATTTTGAAATGCACAGAAAAATCAAATCACTATGTTGTTACCAGGACATAGTGTTGTAGGTCAACTGTACTTCAAAACCAAACAAACTCATAGGAAAAGAGATCAGATTTATGGTCACCAGAGGCGGAGGGGTAAGGGGTGGGAGGAAATTGTATGAAGGCAGTCAAAAGGTAAAAACTTCCAGTTATACGATAAACAAGTACTAGGGATGTAACATACAACATGACTGATATAATTAATACCGCTGAATGTTATAAATAAAAGTGGTTAAGAGAGTAAGTCCTAAGAGTTCTCATCACAAGGAAAAAAATTTTTTTCTGTTTCTTTAATTGTTTTCCCTACATGAGATGATGGGTGTTCACTAAACTTACTGTGGTAAGCATTTCATGATGTATATAGGTCAGTCATTATGCTGTACACCTTGAACTTTTATGGTGCTGTATATCAATTATATCTCAATAAAACTGAAAGGAAAAATAACAGGCTGAAAATCTGAGTAGGTATTTCTCCAAACAAGATATACAAATGGCCAGCAAGAATATGAAGAAATGCTCAACATCATTAGTCATTAAGGAAATACAAATCAAAAGCACAATGATGTGTATACCACTTTATACCAGGGAATGTAAGCTGGTGTAGCTGTTGTGGAAAACAGTTTGGTGGTGCCTCAAAAAGTTAAACATAGAATTACCATATGACCCAGCAATTCCACTTCAAGTTATATGCTCGAAAGAACTGAAAATGGATACTCAAGCAAATACTTGTACATGAATGATCACAGCCAAAAAGTGGAAATAACCCAAATGCCCATCAATAGATGAATGCATAAACAAAATGTGGTATATACATTCAATGGAATATTATTCAGCCATAAAAGTACATGAAGCACTGATTGTGCTCAACGTGGATACACTGAAAATATTAGGCTAAGTGAAAGAAACCCTAAACAAAAGGTTACATGTCGTAAATGATTCCAGTTATACGAAATATCCAGAAGAGGTATCCATAGAGACAGAAAGCAAATGGGGTGGTTGCCAGGGACTGAAGAAAGGGGTTACTGGGTAGGAGAACAGGGAGTGACTACTTAATAGATACAGGGTTTTCTTTCAGGGTGATGAAAATGTTTTGGAACTAGATAGAAGTGGTGATTACATAATACCATGAAGATACTAAATGCCACTGAATTGTACACTTTAAAAAAGTTATGTTATGTGAATTTCACCTCAATTTTTTAAAAAGAGGAAAGAAACCATACTCATGTCCCCTTCTGTCAAACATATATATTTCAGGCTCTCTTTAAATAAAAGGTTTTGAAATTGAAAATAATACTTGGGCTATAAAGTAATCAATGCCTTTGAAAAGGAACTGAATAGAACTATACACACGCTCCCAGCCCTCCACTTACAAGCCCTACCAGATACAGTACTAAATTCTTCCACTGATGCTCACCTTTCCTGCCTTTTCTCTTGCAGTTTCCTAAACAGAGTGGAGGATATTTCATTTCTTCACGCCCACGAACACAACATTCGCAATCCATCAGTAGAACAGTGGTTCTCAAACCTGGCTGCACATTACAGTCACTTCAGGGGCTTTAGAAAAATATATCTCATGTCTGGGCTTATCAACTGAATCAGAATTTCTGGAGGAGAGGCATTTCCATGTTTCTATGCTAGATTATTTTTATTCTGCCTTTAGTATTTCCCTTAGTATAGGTCTGCTCAGATGCGTTTTCTCAGTACTGATAGTCTGAAATGTCTTTATTTTGCCTTTACTTTTTTTTTTTTTAATTAATTTATTTTTGGCCGCATTGGGTCTTCATCGCTCTGCGTGGGGTTTCTCTAGTTGCGGCGAGTGGGGGCTACTCTTCACTGTGGTGCGCGGGCGTCTCATTGTGGTGGCTTCTCTTGTTGTGGAGCACGGGCCGTAGGCACATGGGGTTCAGTAGTTGTGGTGAACGGGCTTAGTTGCTCCATGGCATGTGGGATCTTCCCAGACCAGGGATCAAACCCATATCCCCTGCACTGGCGGCAGATTCTTAACCACTGTGCCACCGGGGAAGTCCCCTGCCTTTACTTTTGAAGGATAATTCACTGAATACAGAATTCTAAGTTGGCAGTATCATTTTACATGCTTTAAAAATGTCACTGCAGGGCTTCCCTGGTGGTGCAGTGGTTGAGAGTCTGCCTGCCGATGCAGGGGACACGGGTTCGTGCCCCCGTCTGGGAAGATCCCACATGCCGCGGAGCGGGTGGGCCCGTGAGCCATGGCCACTGAGCCTGCGCGTACGGAGCCTGTGCTCCACAACGGGAGAGGCCACAACAGTGAGAGGCCCGCGTACTGCAAAAAAAAAAAAAAAAAGTCACTGCATCATCTCCGGTTCCCAATGTTTCTCTTAAGAAATTAGCTTTCAGCCTTATTATTGCTCTTTTGAGGCAAATCTCTTTTCTCTCTAGGTAATTTTAATATTTTCACTTTATCTCTTTGGTTTTCAGCTGTTTTACTATAATTCCCCTAAGTATGTTTGCTTTGAACATACTTTGTGTTGTATTTAATGCTTCTTGAACTTATAGCTTGATGTCTTTTGTCAAATTTGAACTCTGTCATTATCTCTTAAAATGTTACAATTACCCTGTGTGCTCTCTTCTCCCTCTCTGTGACTCCAATTATATGTATATTAGACTTTTTACTGTGTCCTACATATGTCTAGCACTTTTCGATAAATCCATCTCTTTTGTACTTGTGCCTGGTCAGGTATTTTCTCCTGGGCTATCTTCCAGTTCACAAACCCATTTTTTAGATATGTACAATCTGCTGTTAAGTCTTTTATCTTTTTCCTGGTTGTCTCTCTGACAAATCTTTAAGCATTTCATTTGGTGACTAGCGGCAACAGATATTACATGAATATTTGCAGAGTATATGATACTTACCTCACAAAAGCAAATTAAATTTGAATGAGTCAATTTTGCTATCAACAGCAATTTTGACTACACTCTATTTTAAAGAAATGGAGCACTTTACAAAGGATATACAAAAATCACCACAATCTAGGTCACATTTTATATTTTTAATACAGTTGATGCTTCATACTGCCTTAATGTTAAAAGAATATTTTAAAAGGATACTTACTCTCTCTCCTTTTCAGTCAACTTGTCATTAATATTATCTTTGATTGTTGATCTCGATCCCTTATGAATTATAGGATATCTGAGGGGCACTTGTAGGAAAAAGGAAATCATTGATACTAAATGTGCAGTGTAACCAAGGGCAACAGCAATGCTTCCATCATCTTTTGCTGTGAATTCAAAAACAGAGAAATAGAAAATAACTATTTACCTTATAAATGTACCTATGAGATCATAATAAATCAATTTCAAGAGAGATTTTATAAGAAATAATTGATAAAATATTATTCACCTATCTAAATTATATGAATTTTATAGAAATCTAAACACATTAATAAGATTTGAAATTTCATCTACTACATTTAAAACTATTCCCCAATAATTAATGTGATGAGATTAAAATTTGATATATAATCTTAAGAGTTCTTACTGCATTCAAATCTCCATTACTCTCTTTCCCAGCATTTTTAAGGGCAAAAATAATACCTGAGTCTATTATACAATGCAAAAATTAGTTTCAGAGGTTTAAACATTACATCTATATTAACATTATACATTTTACTCGTTAACAACTTTATAAGCAAAACAGCTGTACTGTTGTACAACGTTATTAATTCCAAGGTGAAGTGAAACAGCACAGTGCATCCTTATGGGGTATGTTCTCAATATTCATAAAGACAGCATTGTTTAAGTCTGTGAAGTTTGAGATAGGATAAGGAGAAAAAAATGTTTTAAATAGTAAAAGGTCAAAAACCACATTGTTCATATATATTCTATTTATGCAATTTTTGTGTGGAAGCAACTGTTGGAAAAAATACATGTCTCCTACAGTCAAACATAAGTATGTATCTTTTAAGAAGTCACAGATTTTTAACTCAACATCTAGATTTCTGCTACTGCCTACCAAGCGACAAATAATCATTCAGGTACCCAGAACTGAGGGTAATACAATAAAAAGTTTTAAGCTTGCCCCAGGGGTAAGGAAAAAATAACTGCTTGGTATACAATATTCTTAAAATACTTTAAAAAGTTCTCTCTCTCTCTCTCTCTCACACACACACACACATACACACATTTAACACATATCTGGAATACATCTGGCTAGAGAAAGGCTGAAATGATTGAGATGACCTTGGCTTGAGTATTTCCTGATTTTTAAGAGTACCTTTAACTTCAATTATTAGTAATATTTTCCACATTCTTCTTTTTTATATTTAAACTTGGTTATCTAAGCACTACCTTCCTACTGTAGGACCCCTACTATAGCCGTATACTACTCAGTGCATTCTCCACCCTTGACTACCAAAGCAGATTCCTTGATCATACTGTAAAAATAGGTAACTTTTATTGTACACTTTTTTTTTCTGCCAGGAATTGACCATGATGCTTTATTTCTGATAGTCATTCATTCATCAACAATTAATAAACTGGGCACGTTTTATATGCTATTTCATTCAATTTACAGATGAAGAAATAAGGTTCAAAGAAGTTAAGGAACCTCTCCAAACTAAGATAGCTAGTATGTGCGTTGACCTGACACGGATGCCTCTGTCTTTAAGCACTCTACCACACTGTCGCAGAACTTTACTGTGGAATGTAACAATTTTTAACTTTGGAGCCTAGAACACACCAAGCATATAACACACGTGTATTATCTTAGTTTCTTCACACTTTTCTAGTAAGGGCAAAGAACACATAAAAACTCCTTGGTAACATGTTCTCTCAAATCAAACTGATGAAAAAAAAATCAAACAGCATTCCTTTCAACTGACTACTGGGCATGCCCTAACTGACGAGAATCCTATTTTTAGAGACCATGTGCTCTTGGCCCAGACTCACAGTACTATAATACTTTCCTACTGTTGAAATATGTATATCAGACTACCTTAGAGACTGAAATTACATTACATTGTAAATGCATTACATTATAATTTAATCATCATATATAATATTAGAGCCAGGAGAAACCTTAGAAATCACTGCATCTGATGCTATCAACTTAGAAATGAGAAAAATAAGATTCACGTAGCATAAGTGACTTGGTCAAAGCCATATAAGTAAAAACTATGAGTGATGGAGTGGGAGAGAGAATTCTATCTACACCCCAGCCCCCCAAATATTTATCCCTGGAAGCACAGCTGGGATGGTGAGTTCCATCAGATGTTGCTGAATCCTGCCTCCTGCTTTCTCTAAAGAATAGGGCTTATCAAATTTAAAATATTTCTATCAGTAAAAGGACTTGGTCTTTCAGAACCTTCTTTTGAGGGGAGAGGAAGAAAAAGAGAACTTACAGTAAGTAAGCTCTTACAGTAAGAACTGTAAGAACTTACAGTAAGTAAGCTTACTGTACAGTAAGTACTTACAGTAAGTAAGCTTTTCCTTTCGTATGTGACCTGACAGAAAAGGATTTGAAAACTTCCAAAAATCAGAATGCCTCTCAGTTAGCCTGCCCAAAATAGGTCAAGTGCAAACTATAGTTTAAAAAATCTATCCAAAGCTAAACACTCAAGCATCTCCAGTTTTCCGTATTACTAAAAGGGTAATACTAAAGAATTAAGTTTGCCTATTTCGAGGACTACATCCACATATATATTAAAAGAACGGAAACTGGTCTTCTAACACCATCTCCTTCCAATAATCAAAACAATTTTGTGGGTTTCCCTGATGGCGCAGTAGTTAAGAATCTGCCTGCCAATGCAGGGGACACGGGTTTGAGCCCTGGTCCGGGAAAATGTCACATGCTGCGGAGCAACTAAGCCCGTGCGCCACAACTACTGAAGCCTGTGCACCTAGAGCCTGTGCAGCTTAAAGAAGAGAAGCTACCGCAATGAGAAGCCTGCACACTGCAACGAAGAGCAGCTCCCACTCGCCGCAACTAGAGAAAGTCTGCATGCAGCAACGAAGACCCAAAGCAGCCAAAAATAAATAAATAAAATTAATTAATTAAAAACAAGACAGGGCTTCCCTGGTGGCAGAGTGGTTGAGACTCCGCCTGCCGATGCAGGGGACACGGGTTCGTGCCCCGGTCCGGGAAGATCCCACATGCCGTGGAGCGGCTGGGCCCGTGAGCCATGGCTGCTGAGCCTGCGCGTCCAGAGCCTGTGCTCCGCAATGGGAGAGGCCACAACAGTGAGAGGCCCGCGTACCGCAAAAAAAAACAAAAACAAAAAAAACAACAACAACAAAAAACAATTTTGATTAAATTTAAACATAAAAGGGCATCTCTAAGAGAATCTTATATATGTACATCAAAAACCAAAAAGAAATAGCAAAAACGGAAAACTGGGTAATACTGGAAATCAGTTTTGATTCTAGTTGTTCACACTCACCATTGTTTCCACCACAAGACTCCCCACTCCACCCATTAAAAACCCTAGGTTGTTTCCTATTCCAGGCCATAGTGCTCTGTCACAGCCTCGCAGTTAAACACTGTGGTGTTGGATTTCCAATATTGAAGTTTTATATTAAAAAGCATTTTAAAAGGACCACGGGTAAGGCATTACAGGGCCCAAGGGTATTCCAATACCCTCAAAAGGAAAACCACCTCCTGGTAGGGAAGTCACTTTCATCACCCCAAGACCACTGTACCTCCAGTGGGAAAATGTGAGCTCATGTGGTTAATTATGGCTATTGCTGGCCACGAAACCTCAGATGTCACATTCTGTTGCCAATCACTTTAGCTAAAAAAACCAAAAGGTTTAAGGTTTCCAGCATTCCAAGATCTAAAAGGCTTTTTACCTGCCAAAGCCAAAACCTGGCTCTCTGGGGTGTGCTTTTCCAGTAAGCATTAATGACGCCCCTAACACCTAATGCAGAGCAGAGGCTTGTATTCCTTATGCTGCTCTGGGGGTTAGAAAGGTCACAGATGATAGGTCTGTTGGTGAAAAGAAGTTAGAGGGGGAGTGGGAGGGTTCAGGGAGGAACAGGAATAAACTGTAGACTCAGGTAAGTGAAAAAGCCCTTATTAAAACAATGTTTTAAGGGGCTTACAAACAACAAAATTCTGCAGTTTCCTCATAATAAATATTTCTGGTTTTTCGGGCCTCTCACTGTTGTGGCTTCTCCCACTGCGGAGCACAGGCTTCGGACGCGCAGTCTCAGTGGCCACGGCTCACGGGCCCAGCCGCTCCACGGCATGTGGGATCTTCCCGGACCGGGGCACGAACCCGTGTCCCCTGCATTGGCAGGCGGACTCTCAACCACTGCGCCACCAGGGAAGCCCTGGTTTGTTTTTTAAATGTAGGTATCTACTCGGGGCTGCAGTAATTTTTATAATTAAATCTTTTATGTAATTGTTATGATAATAGATCCCACAAACCCACAATGGCCATGACAACATTATAAATTCATTCAAATGTCCCTCTGACTTATATGTTGGACAAACTATTAATATTCAAATGCATCCAAGTACAATAAGTGATCTAAAAGCTCTTACCATCCTGCCTTCCCAATCACTGAGGCAGCTGATTTGGTAAGGAACCATGCACCCACTGATCCAGACAGAACAAAATATTTAAGACTCTAATCATTGCCACAGCATCTATGGAATCATTCCATGTTCTCAATGAGACACTGTTTGACATATGGACTCTCCTTTCCAAGAAATCATGCCTGTATGAAGGGATACAGACACAGAAGGAAATCTGGGTCTCATTACCACGAAAGGCTCTCATGTTATGGATTACTTAAAAACACACACAAACAGTTTTCTTTTTTTTTTTTATTTTTGGATGAGAAATGTCTCAGTCAATGGAACTCAAATGAATACCCTTCACTGGACAATTTTCTCCCGTTGTGTCCCAGTCTCTCTGGAATACTCTAACTGAAACTTACCCAGTTAGAAGAGGAGAAGAGCACAATAAGTGTTGGGTCACTATGGAGGAGTTTCCCAAACAGTATCAAGCTATACAATGTAAAGTCTATCCCAGCAAAATCTCATGAATGTAACAGAATAACCGGTTTAGAGTTCTCTCACTAGAGTCTTACTAAGAATGCAGCTGCTACAGAACACTAAAAGTTGTCAGAAGTCTGGAAGAGGTTATTATTCAAAACAAGGAAGAAAACTGCATCATGACAGGAATAACATGGACCTTAAAATCAGGCCGACCAGGGATGATTTTAGCTCTGCCACTGGCTAGTATGAGTCTTCGGAAAAATTAACTAATCTCTCTGAGCTGCAATTTTCTTGTCTTTAAAAAAAAATGTTGAGTATAACTCTTTCCCTCACAGAAGGAATTAATTCTCACAGTGGTGAGAATTAAATAAACAAACAGCATCATGTGTGATGTTCCATGTTACCATATTTCCACTCACCGAACCTAAAATGTCCCATCCTTCTTTCAAAAGGGGAATACTATTTCATCTTTTAAAATACCTCAGGTATCATCTTCTCTATAAAGATTTTCCTGATTCCCTCCTGACAGACCTGATTATTCCCACTCTCTGAGTCCCATGTACCTGGTATAAACTTCTAAGTGCCTCGTTAACCTCAAGTGGACTGAAGTTTCATGGAGGTAGGATCAATGCCTTGGTCCCCTTTGTATACTCCCAGCACCTGACACCGTAAATGACACACACAAGGCACTCAGTAAATTTAGTACCTGGAAGTGCCTTACAGATGCCAACGTAAGATTTTAAAGTCCAATACTACCATATGTGCTGCTTAAAATTTCTGATTCCTAGGAGTCATGGGAAGTAAACAGGGCCTTAGAGTAGAATTAAATATTTATTTCATTTTATCTCCCATTTCATTGTTTTAGCAGTAAAAACTGCACTTGAAAGCTAAACTAACTTTTTTAAGGGAAGAAGGAATGTATTCAGCTTGTTGGGCATACTAAGTATAGATAGCAAACAAAAGCTAGGAAAAACTAGGAAAAAAATCACCTCCAGAAGACAAAAATAGAATCAAGAAACATCCCAGAACGAATTAAGGTGATACTCCAATACCGATAGCCCTGCTTCTCTCGTTGCCGCCTCTCAGATCATTCTGTATTTAGCAGCCAGAGTGACTTTTAAAAAACATAAATCAACTCATATCATCCCCCTTCTTGAAGCCCTTCAGGGGTTTCCCACTCCACTGAGAATAAAATAGAAACTCCTTCCAGTGGCCTCAAGGCCCTGGCTGACTCTCTTACCTCTTCTGATGGAACTCCTTCCCTTTTCTCACTATGCTCCAGCTACACAGGGCTGCTCTGGTCTTTTCTGTCCTTCCTTCCTTCCTCTCTCTTGCAACTAATTCCAATTACATTTATTGAGTGCCTTCTATATGAAAAGCCCTTTCAAATGCAATCTCAATCATCACAATGAATTTAAGATGTAAATATTACCTCATTTTACAGGTGAAGAAATTAAGCTCTGAGAGATTACATGATCTGCCCAAAATACAGGTATCTTCTCCCATGCCCCTCACCCTGAATTTTTTCAGATATATCAAGCCCATTCCTCCATATCCTCCATCATGACCGCTCCCTCTTCTAAGACTGCTCCTCCCCCAGCTGTAGTGTAGTTGGTTCCTTTCAGCCTTCAGATTTTGGGTTAAATGTTCCTCCTCAGACAGGTCTTCTCTGACTGTTTTATCTACAGTTGGTTCCCCTATTCTCTAAGATAGTGTATTCCTTTATTAAACACTTTTTAAATACTTATTTTCTTGTTTATTGCCTGTCTCCCTCAATAGGTTGTATGCTCCATGAAAGACGAGAATATATTTGCTTTTTCCATCATTATATCCTCAAAACACAGCACAGTGTCTGGCATTCAGGTGCTCAACTGATATTTTTTTCAATAAATGAATATTCTGTATGCCTGCAACCTGACACAGGGCTCAAGGTACTTAATAGGTTTATTAAATAAACGAAGGAATGAAAGAATGGGGGAAAAGATGTGTCATGAGCTTCAAGACACCATAACATAAAAGTAACACCTAAAATTAACACCAAAGCACATCTGTATGACTTACAGAGATTAGAGGGAACACTGTACAATGGAAACCAGACAAATCCCAGCAAGATCATTGCTTAGCTTTTGTGGTCTCATGCAAGTCACTAAATAGCTCATTTACACATTGTAAAATGAGATTATACCACCTTCCTCATAAGGCAAAATGTCTTGCCCTTAAATAAAATCTTAACAATCATGTAAAACAGGTAGTACATGAACTAATGTGCTCATACTATCAATTAGAAAATCAACCCAAAGCTTAGATGACTTGTTCCAAAATAGATGGTTTCTAGAAGGGGAACCAGGACTCAAACATAGGTCTTCCCATTCCTGTTTTAATCACTCTTCCTTTTTTTTTAAATTTATTTTTTATTGAAGTATAGTTGAATTACAATGTTGTATTAATTACTGCTATATAGCAAAGTGACTCAGTTATACATATATTTACATTCTTTTTCATATTCTTTTCCATTATGGTTTATCACAGGATACTGAATATAGTTCCCTGTGCTATACAGTAGGAACTTGTTGTCTGTCCATTCTATATATACCAGTTTGCATCTGCTAATCCCAAAATCCCACTCCTCTCCCCCTTGGCAACCACCAGTCTATTCTCTGTGTCCCTGAGTCTGTATCTGTTTCATAGCTAGGTTCATTTGTATCACTCTTCTTATGTCCCAACTACTTGTAAGTCTTGTTGTAAAGGACAAAGGAGGTAATATATTAAAACAGTCTTAAATGTTAAAGGACCACAAATAACAACATTTTCTTTATAGGGAAATGGAAGAAAGTCCCAATCAGAACTAGTAATGCTTTCTTCTTGAATAACTTATTCCCAAATAGATTAATGTGCTAGCTTTGGGAATAATCTACACAACTACTTAACAGTCCTCAAAGCATTGTTTATATTAGGAGAAAAGAACCCACTTTGCTAACAATAAAAGTAATCTTTCTAACCAATATGCCGAATAAAATAAGTTCTTTTCTCTGGCATACTGGTAAAGGGATTAGGAAAAATATTTTTAAATATAGCAATTACTATGAATCATATCTATAACATCTTTAATGTAAATTTATTTTAGTTAAAAGAGGACAGAAATGACAGTATAACAAGTTTAACCTACGGGGGTGGGAATGTCACAAAATTAAATTTTCAAATACATTTTACATCAGCAGAAATATGGTTTTCTAAATAGAACAAATTAATGTTTATTGCTTTGCTCCCAACACAAATTTTTCATGAAAAATCAAACCAAAAGGACAGGGATATTATTAGTATTCTTGAGAATCCTACTGTCTGATTTTCTCAAAGCTCATTCAAAAAGTATTTTCTTTTAACTTTCAAATAGAAAGTTCAACAATTTTTTTGTTTTTTCATGACTAGACCAAATATCCTCTTAAGTCTTCCATCAGGGAATCTGACTCTATATACTTACAATTGGGAAGGGACAGAAGGTCCAGAAACCCTTCTGGATAAAGTGCCAGGCAACCAACATTTCAAGCTATCTCTCTTTTTCCCTGCAACATACCATACATTATACCAAATCTTTAGCAGTATAAGACATAAAATACCTTGGAAGTCCTCAGAATTAGGCAACTTGACACCACATACAAAGTAATCCTTATGCTCATTCTGTAAATACAACCAAAGAATGAAATTAATTTTGTTTATGTATAAAGAAGTTCTAAATCTAAAAAATTTACGTCAGTATTAATTCAAAGACAATACTGTCATAGACTCAAATTATTAACCAAACTGTTGAAGCTGAATGATGAGTACATGATGATTTATTATACTATTCTGTACATTGATATACACTTCAAATTCTCTATACTAGAAACATTTAAAACATCATATCTAAGCAAAAAACCGTGTCAAATTTTAATCGTAAAACTATTGTTTGACCAATTCATAGCTATAAATGAAAATTTTTAAGTAGAATTAACAAGATTCTGTGAGCAACCTAAAATCCTATTAGGTTTCCTCTCAAAAAATTAGTCTTTTAAGTCTCTTTTCATTAAAAAGAAAACAAAACCACCAAATCTAGCAGATTTAGTTCTCTAAAAAAAATCCTAACCAGTTACATTTGTATTTACTCTAAGAAACCAGATTCAGAAACTTAATATCCTGACAGTTACCTCAGGAATATCTTAGGTAATACTAATAAATATAAATTAATTAGCCATTATATTTTTAAAGCAATGCACGTGTATCTGCATCTATGTGTCAGATATGGTGAAAGCTGATAATTTGGTTGAGTGAAAAGGTCCTAAAGAAACCAGAAATAATTTGGCATTCTTTCAGATGAAGATGAGTGCACCCCACCACCAAACTGATAGAAAAAAAATCAAATGGTGGAACCTAATGCCAACTAATTCCAAATCTACTTTTTAAATAAATATTAGCTTCTGAATGAATCATGACAGAGCATATGATTAAGACCAGAGCAATGAGTTTTTGCTTTGAGAGAAAATTTCAAACAGAAATCATCTTAAAAAAATTTTTTTTTCCCCCAGAAAATTTGAAACTTACCAAATCAATAGGGTAAATGTAGGAAAGCTCAGATAGTAATTGCCTGCAACGAATTGTCAACTGGGCATTAGTCTTCAGAAAGAGTTCTCTAATGAGGAAAAAAAAGCACATTTGTTAAAAAAAAACATGTTTGCATGCTTTCTCACAGTTATTTCCACCTAACTGATGCAGAGAGAAAGATTAATGGTCTGTACTGGGCCACAGAAGTAGAAGCAAGAATAATAGCTAACGTGAGTCATGACCTATCACTAAATACTATCAATCAAGCTAACTGTACTGAGGCCTATTTTACGTGTCCAGCACCAGGCTAAGAGATGTGAAACGTACAAAATCACTGGCTGGGCACCTACTACTACATGCCAGGAGCTTCACAAATGGCTTTAATTACTACAACAACTTACTCGGTTGATATTACTATACCCATTGTACAAACAAGAAAACAAGATTTAGAGAGGCTCAGTAAGCTGACCAAGGTCTCATTTAACCTGAGGCCAATTTGTTTTTAGGAAATATCCATATGGTATTTCCTCAAAAAAGTATTCTATTTTCATTTACAACTACAGATGTTATAACTACCTCAAAAAATAACCTGCTGCCATATTACAAAAATAACAGAATAAAAAAAGGACAAAGCAAAAAGCTGTGGCAATGAGATGATGTAGCTCTTCTTGAACTATTTAAGAAACATGACCAACAGCTAAAATACCCGTAGAGCATATTACCTGCTCAGCTGTGTCAACAATTAAAAAGGAGGTAATTTAGGAGAAACAGTAGGTCAAAGTGGAATCTAAAGTAGTACAATGCAAAGAGCACTGAAGACTTAAAGGGATTTAGTCCTGCTTTCCTAGTGAAATGGACAGAGTAACCTCCAGAGCTTTGCTTTCCTATCTGCAAACTGAGAGGATTAGATGATCTCCAAGGTTCTTTTCAGGTTTCTCAATTGCTAAGGTTTCTTAAAGAAAAATGCAGGATGGGATGACTTTCTAGGAAAAGTGAGTGAAGATGAGGAAAAGATCAGAGGTGGTAACAAGTTAAGCATGTGCTGGAAAAAATACCGGGAAAAACTATTAGCATTTGTTAAATGAATGTCACGGAGCGACTGAAATTAGCTACAGCTGTATGGGGCCATTTTATTGAAGGTTATTTGACAGCGAGGCAAAACAATCACCATTGGTTCTTAAGAAGAGAAAAAATGATGGTAAAATAGTATTTTAGGAGGGCTTCCCTGGTGGCGCAGTGGTTGAGAGTCCGCCTGCCGATGCAGGGGACACGGGTTCGTGCCCTGGGTCCAGGAAGATCCCACATGCCACGGAGCGGCTAGGCCCGTGAGCCATGGCCGCTGAGCCTGTGCGTCCGGGGCCTGTGCTCCGCAACGGGAGAGGCCACAAGAGTGAGAGGCCCGCGCACCGCAAAAAAAATAAAAATAAAAATAGTATTTTAGGAGAAGTCTGCTAGCAACATGGAGGATGAACTGAAAACTGGAGAGACTGATGTTAGAGAGAGAACCTGGGAGCTGTTGAGGTCAGCCAAGAGAGCTAACAGAAGTCTGAAGGAGTTACTGAAGAAAAACTGTAAGCTGCACTAAATGCAGAAGACAGGAAGAGGAGGAGATTCAAACATTAAGTCACAGTGCTGTGGCCCTGAAATCTAGAACAGTGTCCATGCTTCCGATTCTGACTACATACTAGGAGGTCTCATAACCGACTCTAGCACAGTAGGTGTTGAACAAGTGAAAGTGGCATTGAACATATTAACTGGTACTAATACCGGCAGCTTTAAAAAATACTCCTTTTCCAAATCCTCTCCTCAAAGTAAACTCGACACTCATAACAACCATTCTCAGTGTTCCATTTACCTTTTCGCAGTACACTCCTTCCTCAACTCATTTAGGGATTCCTTCTGGAGTTGAAGCTTGAGGTGCTCAGCCGAAAATGCACTTCCTAGAGAGAGACGAAAGGAGACAATTCCAGATGGAACACTGCAGACAGGACTGCCCAGTCACAACCGAACAGGCAGAGCCCAGTCCCCTGACTGTGAGAGGGAAATAAAAAGAGTTAAAAGGTAAAATGGGTTGGGGTTGGAGGACTTCTGGGGGAATTAATGAGAATAAACTTCCTATTGCTTCCTTTTTTTGTTGTTGTTGTTGCTTCCATTTTTATACAGCTTCTAGCAGGAGTCAAAGAGTAAGAGTCTAGGATTCTCTGCCTACAGAATTCTGGGTCACTGACGAAGAAACCTGGATGCAATTTTCAAAATTCAGACAACTTCATTTTTTAAAAAACTGGCTATGGACTCTGGGTGCTAAGGATGATTCACTAAAGGTTCATCAATTGTAACAAATGTACCACTTTGGTGGGGGAAGCTTTGCACAGGTGGGCGGTTGGGAATATATGGGGAATCTGTACCTTCTGTTCAATTTTGCTATGAACCTAAAACTGCTCTAAAAAGTAAAGCTTAATTTTTTCTAAAAAGGTGGTTAATTTGTTTTTAACTGCAAATGCTATATAACATTACTGAAAGTATAAAAAGTAGAGCAGGAAAAATTACCTGCATATTGACTACTACAATATAGTTCATCAATATTAAGTTTTTTATGAAGTTTCATCTTATTCATATACATAAGTAGTTTTAGTTACAATCATAGTGTGCAGGAAATGTGTATTCTGATCTTTCCAAATTATGTCTCAAGCATTTTTACATGTTGACAGATAGTCTGAGTTACAATGTTTAATGGCTTGTAAAATTTAACTCCATAGATGTGAATTAAAAGAATATTCCACATTTTAACTGATACCCCAATACCTCAATTCCACTACAGGATTGCTTTAGCATTGCAATGATTAATATTTGTGTATAAGCCTGGTCTTTTGTATTTATATCAACTTTGGAACTTCCATTTTCATTCATGTGATCGTAAAATCCTTTTACATCTTCCTACTCTAAGAAAATGAGCCTGTCTCAGGAAATTCCAAAGGTCCTGAAACACAGAAAAATAGTCTTAGATCCTGACATACTAAGTTCTAGATCTTAAAAAGAAGCTTAGGGACTTCCCTGGTGCCGCGGTGGTTAAGAATCCGCCTGCCAATGCAGGGGACACGGGTTCGATCCCTGGTCCGGGAAGACCCCACATGCTGCAGAGCAATTAAGCCCCGTGTGCCACCACTACTGAGCCTGTGCTCTAGAACCCGTCAGCCACAACTACTGCAGCCCGTGCGCCTACAGCCTGTGCTCTGCAACAAGAGAAACCACCGCAATAAGCCCGCTCACTGCAACTAGAGAAAGCCGGCATGCAGCAATGAAGACCCTACGCAGCCAAAAAAAAGAAAAAAGAAAAAGAAGCTTAGTTTCATGAACTGTGATCTAACAGGAAAAGGTGCCCTAAACTCTTCCGCACATCTAGGGAGGAACAGGAAGTAGGTTAATTGATCAAAGTACAGTTTGGACCTTAGAACTAAATTCACCAACCTAAGTAATTTTATCAACATATGTCTAAGCACCCTGCTCTTCTCTCTCAACTGTATTTAAATGACCAGTAAGTTGTTAACTCTGCTCCCCAAACAGAACTTAATCAAGGAATACCACTTATCTTCTTTAGCCCCAATATAATTCCTCACAAGATTTCCATATTGATAATAGATAGCATTGAGATAATCCCTCAATGATTTCAGAAGACACTTGGGTTGACAACCTCTACCCCTCACCCAATGCACTTTTACCAGAAAGCACATGAATTCTTCCACCACTATACAAATTTGCAATGTTATTCTTCATCCCAGATAAAAGGCTACCTCAATTCTAGTGAAAGCACAAATGGGCCAAGACAGATCTGGGTTTCAAAATGCAAATGTATGCACCCTCTTTAGCTTTGAATGTCATTAGAACATATCACACGACCAAAAAGAAAACAAAAACAAAAACAAAAACCCTTGCAAAACAAAGAAGGGAAACAAAATTTAAAAATACACAGCCAGCTAACAGATGGGGTAAAAAGTTAACAATAGGTAAATCTGGGTGAAGAATGTAAGTGTTCTCTGTACTCTTATTCTTGCAATTTTTCTGTAAGTCCAAAATAATTTCCAAATAAAAAGTAAAAGAGTAGATCCAAACCCAGAAAAAGGTCTCCTGAAAGGCTATGGTTTTCCCACAGGCTTTAACAGAACTAAGGCTTTAGAACACAGACTGGCAACATCTGTCCAACACATATCAGGTTCATTTTTCTGTTAAAAGGTAATATGCCTCATTGGTCACCAGGTGGTCTCTGGAACAAAACTGAGTGAGTCTGGTTTAATTAGGCTCAGGTAGAGAAGAACAAAGTATTTCAAGATACCTCAGAAAACTCAACCTAAGTTCCAAAAGTCACTTCACAGGAAGTAGTAACATTGAGGCAATGATGTGCTCAAGCTCTTTACATGTTGTTCAAGTTATATATTACCAGCCTGAATACTGCATGATTGGTGTTGTGTCCTCCTAAGGATATTACACATAGAAGCAATGATATCCATCTTTAAGACCATGGATATATCCTGCTTCTCATCTAACTTTCTCACTGTTGTGGCCTCTCCCACTGCGGAGCACAGGCTCCGCAGATTTAGCATTGATTGGTGTCTTCTGCTTGAATCAATTTTTACTACTATGGTTGCAAAATAATATTCCAACTTCAGTACTTCCTCCATACTTATCAGTCAGCATTCAGCATTCTTCTCTAAGCAAGAGCCCTTCCTTCTCCATTAGCTATCTATTATCAGTATGGAATCATGAATTCTCTTTTATTTTTCAAAGATTTATAATTCATTACTGGATTTAATTATTTTGGTGCTCAAGTGGTCCCAGATTTGACCAGCCTTCAGCCTTCTTCCAGTGCCCTTCTGACATACTACGATATTATTCAAAATATTACCTTATTTACTTTAATTGCTGCAGGATCTGTAGTGATATCCCCTCTCTCATTCCTGATACTGGTAATTCACGCTTTCTCTCTTTTTACTCAGTCAGTCTGGCTAGAGGATTATCAATTTTATTGATCTTTTCAAAGGACACCTTTTAGTTTCATTGACATTCTCTACTCTCTTTTTGTTTTCAATTTCACTGATTTCTGCCCTCGATTATATCCTTCCTTCTGCCTGATTTGGGTTTAATTTGCTCTTCTTTTCTAGTTAAGATATAAGCTTAGGTTATTGAATGAAGGCCTTTCTTCTTTTCTAGTATAAGCATCAAATGATATAAATTTCCTCTAAGCATGCATCCCTTAAAATGTTGATATATTTTCATTTTCATTCACATCAAAATATTTTCCAATTTTCCTTGTTATTTCTTCTTTGACCCTGGTATGTATATGTATGTTTGTTGTACAATTTCAAAATATTAAGAGTTTTCCAGATATCTTTTAGTCAGTGATTTCTAGCTATTTCTGTTTTGGTGAGAGACAATACTTTGCATTATTTTGCATTTATTTGTTTTATGACACCAAATATGGCCTAACTAAATATTCCATATGTACTTGAAGAAAATGTATATTCTGCTGGTGTTCTACTGTTAATTAGGTCAAGTTAGTTGATAATGTTGTTAATGTCTTCTTTCCTTACTGATTTTCTCTCTACTTGTTCTATAAATTACTGAGAAATTAGTGTTACGGTTACCAACTACAATTGTGCATTTAGCCATTTCTCCTTTCAGTTCCATCAGTTTTTGATTTTTTTATATATATATATATATATATACACACACACACACACACACACACACACACATATATATATAAGCTTGGTTGTTATATTCATACATATTTAGAATTGTTACGTCTTTTCATGAATTTGAAATGTAATAATGTAATATCCCATAATGTAATATCCCTCTTTATTGCAGGTAATATTCATTGTTCTGAAGTCTACCTTGCCTGATATTACTAGAGCCACTTTGGCCTTCTTTTGGTTGGTATTTGCATAGTGCATTTTTTCCATTCTTTTACCTTTAATCTATCTATAACTTTAAATTAGAAGCGTGTTTCTTGTAGATAGGCTTTAGTTGGGTCTTTTTTTTTTATCTTTATAAAATCTGAACAATCTCCTTTTTAACTGAGGTATTTAGAACATTTACACTTAATATAATCATTGATACATTTAGATTAAGAACTACCATCTTGGGCTTCCCTGGTGGCGCAGTGGTTGAGAGTCCGCCTGCTGATGCAGGGGACGCGGGTTCATGCCCTGGTCTGGGAGAATCCCACGTGCCTCGGAGTGGCTGGGCCTGTGAGCCATGGCTGCTGAGCCTGCGCGTCCGGAGCCTGTGCTCCGCAGTGGGAGAGGCCACAACAGTGAGAGGCCCGCGTACCGCAACAAAACTACTATTTTGTTAGCTGTTTTCTCAATGTTCCGTTCCATTTATTCTTTGTTTCTTTATCCCTCTTTTTCTATGCTTTTGGATTTTTTTTTTATGACTTCCTCTTTCTTCACTATCAGCTCATTCTTACCTCCCTCTAAAATTTTTAGTGGTTGCCCCAGAGTTTACAATATATAACTTAAATTAATAACAGTTTACCTTCAAATAAAATTATACCACCTCATGTAAAGTATAAAATCCTGACAACAGTACACTCCCAACTCTTCCCTTCCTCACTCGTAAAATACTTCACAAATTTTACTCTATGCATGTTATAAACTCTAAAACATTATTTTTGCATTAGAAAATCAACAGTCTTTAGAGCAATTAAAAATAAGAAAAAAATTTCTTTATAATATCTTCCTTTCAACCATTTCTGGAGCTCTCAATTTTTGTGTGTAGAGCTAAGTTTCTGTATGGTATCATGTTTCTCCTGCTGAAGAATTTCCTTTATTATTTCTTAAAGTATAAGACAGCTGATAATGAAATAACTTAGTTTTATGTGAAAGAGTCTCTTTGCACTTCAGTTTGGGTAATTTCTGTTGACCTATCTTCAAGTTCAATG